CGGAGTGAAACAATTTTGTGTCATTCTGATTTTATTGCAGCCATGTTCAGAAAGCTCTCCGAAAAAGAACAATCTATTGTCATCTGACGTAACCCTCTTTTCAATTTGCGAGACTATAAACATCAGTCAAACAGCATCCTTCGTTTCGGCGTAGCTACAAGTATAAAGTAGAAAACGGATGTTACAATCACCTACGCGCGTTTAGAACAAAATTCATTACGTATGCAATGATCTATCTCGAATTATCAATGACAAAAACGTTTGCGTCGTTTATGACACGCAATTTCTCGCAAGCGCGTAAACATTATCCTTTTATATATCACGCAGGCTATTTATACGTACGCGCTTTTGTATTGGATTATTGATTCACTTCCGTCCACCGAAGAATCGCGTAACATATTTCGCGTTGTAGGATTTTCAGGGTGCGTGCACTGCATGGCGCTCCTCCTCTTTCTCGATTATGATCAAATCGATATGTAATGGAATTTCTCACAATGCGAGAGTGCAGGTCTTTGAAACCGTACGATTTAAAGGCCGAATTTTGCCCAACCAATTTGTACAATAGCAGCAAACAATCGATATCGTGAAAGGATCGCCTAATCTCTGCTTAAAAATCCGATAAGGATTGATAAAGATATATATATATATATATATATATATATATATATATATATATATATATATATATATACCAATTTCACTGAAATACTACATGACTTCATCTGAACTTATCATTTGTACCGAAAATTTCAATTTCTCATATCTCAGTTCATATAGAAAAGTTGTTAATTTCTTTCGTTTATCCTGACATAACGATTAAATGCTTACCTGAATACACACGCCCTTCTTTTATCTTTTTTTTACGAAAAATACGATTCGATAGATTTTTCTGATGGTATTCTATTAAATTTTTTTGCGCAAGAAATATAAAGTTTTGTGAGTCGTTTGACGCAATCCACTTCTCTCCATCGTGACGTGCGTGGAGACGACGGACAAGTCAACACACACACGTGGGAAATAAGCAACAATTCGACGAGGCGCTGTTTGAGATCTTACCTGCAATTTTAATCGAGAACACCGACCGAAAAATAAACTCGTCTGTATATATCTAAAAAAAAAAAAAAAAACAGAAAAAAGTCAAATGCATGCGTTTGATGATGGTGAGAAACAACTCGATGATATAATAGCATTTTTTTTTTTAATGCGTTCTTAATTTACAAATCGATGCTGAATAGATGTGTGTGCGTGTGTCTCTCTCTCTCTCTCCTCGCAGGAAGAGCGTGCGAAGTCATCGAATTACCGTCCTACAAACCAAGTCAAGCGAAGCGCACAAAGTGCGGAGAAGAATCGCTGCGGAGAGAAGTTAAATTCACACGTACACACACACACACACACGCGCGCGCGCACAACATACATACATACACACAACACACACGCACTCACACATTGCACGAGGATAAAGTAAATTTTTTCTCCTTTTCTTGCGTATTCATCGATTTAATACAATAATTGATCGATTTCTCGGCGCAATTGATTGAATTATGTATCCTCGCGATATAGCCCTGACCGCGCGCGCGCGCAATCAAGACGAGCACTTTTGCGAACGAAAAACGTCGGCATGTTCTCGTAAAGGAAAAAGGAAGAAAAAAATAATGAAGGAAAAACCAAATGAGCAACAAGGTCGCTTAACGCTGACTTTGGCTGAACAAATTCCTCCACGCAATCTACATTACAGAGAAAAAAATAAGCTTCTCGAACGGTTCACTGCGGATGAGAAGCGCGCCACACACACACACACACACACACTCTCTCTCTCTCTCTCTCTCTCTCTGCAAAAAGGAGGCGCATCAAAGGTAATTAACAAAAAGGAATTCATTCGAATGAACAAAATTGAATTCTCATTTCTCAAAGCTGAATGATGCTCCCGACATCGTTTCGCACACTTAAAAGAGGATTTTTCTCAAGATATATCGCGTCAATGTGTAACGAGTTTCAAAAAAATCTCATCTATCTGAGAATTAGAACGTAAACTCGGCCCCATTTCGCGCTCGACGCTCAATTTGACATTGCATGATATATTCTATTCGACTACTGTGTGTATTATCGGTCAAAATATTCGTCCAATTCGTCAGGAAGCAGCGTTTCGAACGATAGGAAAATAGACCGGGATCCAAGAAATTTGCAGCCGAGTCTCGCTTTTTAAGATCAGGAATTGTATTTTACAGAAAGACTTCCTCTCAGTTCGATTCAATTTACACACATACACATGCACACTTCGCTCGCGCACAGGGTGATCCGGGGTCAGTTAACTCAAACTGTCGGTACAACTTAGAGCCGGTTTCACTGACGTCCGGTTAGCGCTAAATCCAGTCAACCAAATTCGCCATCTTCGTCTAAGCCGCAGGTGGTGGCTACAACCTAGAAAGGAACAACGAATCGCCAACTGAATCGGTTAACATGGATTACTGCGACAACGCTCGGCGAAAGAAAGCAGCCAAAGTCCTATCACGTCACGTCATAGCAAAGACGTATGGTGCGTGCGTCGTAGGAAAAGTTGTTCCATTCCGAGGCACGCCAAATACAAAGTCAGATTTTGGGGAGAGCAGATCCGCCGTTCCATGTCCAAAGAAGACAAAATCAAAGGAGAGAAGAACGAGCGCTCGGAAATGATTCGTTCAAAACATGTGTCGCGATACACAGGATCTGCTCTACCACATCGGCCGCGCTCTTTCGGCTTTGGATCGGATGTGAGACGAGAAAGAAACGTGTTCCATTACGTGTATCTATGTCGCCTGTACAATCGCATACGAATCCTTACAGGATACATGTCGAGAAGCGATGCGCGGAGAAGCGAGTGTCCGGACGCGACTACAACATGGTGCTACAAAATTTTGCACGCACGTAAAATCTTCAAAGGCGGAGGAAGACGACCGAAGACGTCGAGGTTTGGCGAAATAAAACTTGGTTGGCGACACGATTCGCTCGCGCTACTCTACAATGAAAGATAGCGAAAGTCGCGATATAATATGCGGACTATGAGGTCACTACTTGATGAAATAATGGGCCATTATTAGCCTCTTCTCGATTAATATCGATTTGCGCAAACGGAAGATTTATGTTTCTTATCAACCTGAGATCGATGCAAAACTCTTAAACGGAAGACGAGTCTTGTATTTCCACTCCATGTCCTCCTCCTCCTCCTCCTGATTTGTCGTAGACTTTGATTCGTAGATACGATAAATTGTCATAGTTCACTACATTTTCTTCCTCGTTATGGGAAGGTGTTATCAACGACGTAAGCTTCGCTCTAATTCAATGCGTTCGCAATGTACAATTTCAATCTGGCTCGTTTCGCTTATATCTGCGTGCGCGTTCCTCTGCTATTTAATCACATTCTTCCCTTATCCTTACTTGCTTGCTTTTCCATTCCTTTTCTTCTCTTTCGCTTTTTTTTCATTCACAACGAATACCTCTCACAGTTTCGACGAGTTTTCGTATCCGGCACTTATCTGCGGTCGCTTAAAACGCCGCGATGAATTACGCATAAATAAATAAATAATAAATCGCAAGTGTCATGGGACAGAACGGGAAAAGAAACATCGAATCGCTACTCGATTTCGAAAGTTTGTCCTTAGGCCTTGCATGCTCATACGCGAGAAGGAAGGTGCACTTCCCAATAAAAATTCCCGACTCAAATCAGAACAAGGAGGTGCTTAAATACCAAACAATGGTACACGCTACATAACATTACACACATGTATATTATAATAATAAAAAGTAATACTTGTATATAGTCATAAATAGTACGCGCAAATACACATTTAATACATAGCATATCTCTATCTCTCGCGTGTGTGTGTGTGTGTGTGTGTGTGTGTGTGTGTGTGTGTGTGTGTGTGTGTGTGTGTGTGTGTGTGTAAAACATATTAAATATATATAAATATTCATTGCGATATTATGTCAAAACATACACATTTTCGAATAATCGTATGTCGAAATAAAATTAAAAGGATTAACATGAAGTATATTATATATATATATATATATATATATATATATATATATATATATATATATATATA